TTTTTTTTCTAACTTAATTCGTCAAAAATATAAAGAATTAAACTTAAATTTAATTTCCATTTCCGGGCCTCCAGCGGAATAAAATACTGAGATTTTCGCCGCGTCACCGCCAACCACGGTGGCGCTGACGTAGTGTGGACTATCATTCAGCACACACCACCAGGGCCGTAGCCACCGATACGGTTGGTCAGGTTTAAACCTGACCACTCTTTGACAGACCACAATTTAATTGATTAGGTTTTGAATAGGAAAAAAGGCTAAATTTCCCTTGTATGCAGTTTAGACTCAACCTACTCCCTCTTGACGTAGCTCAGGAACCACAATCTTTGAATTTGGGGCGAACGGTTAATGATTGTTTACATCATTTTCTTCCTTTATCTGTAGGTTCATTCCTGGTAGTTTTAGTAGGCCTACTATTAGTATGCAACATTATTTTCTATAAATAAATATACTGTAAATATACATTTTTTAAGCACTTCTCTTAAATACATGTCAAGCACAGATCCAGAGATTTCCCTATCACACAGATGGGTTGCCATGGTAGGAGGTAGGTCATGGGGGGGTCATGAGAAGAGAGCTAGTTTGTTCTGTCCCTGGAAGACAAATTTTAAATATGGGTGGGGTGGTGGGGGAGTCTTCCTTCGAAAAGTTTTTGTTTTCTAGATGCAATTGAAATGCACTTTCGTGCATTATGAGACGTCTATTATTGAATACACTCTGAATTCATAGTTTTTCCCTACTTTACAATGGCCAATTAATAATTATGATGATGAGGAGGAGGAAGCTAGGTAATGACAGGCTCCTGTGCAAGATTAATTAACATGTCCTTTGATGTAAAGTGTCAAGGGAGGCCCGTAGTCTGGGTTACGCTTGGGAATTTAACAACATTATCATACAAAATAAAAAGAATACAAATATAATAAAAACATGTAAAAAACATCTACACTAAATCAAAATGCATATACACTGCCTGTCGGATCACAGTTTTAGTATTGCAGGGACTTTACAGTATAACCAATCCCTGTATTTCTGATAGACTGCTGATTAAATTGTAAAATATACTATATATAAAAGATTTTATATTCAGTACATTCTCAAATGTCATGTAAATCTCAAAAATTATGTTATATTTATGCCCCAAAGTGGGAAGTTTAACCTAATAATTTTGATAGATTTTATGTTGTTTGTTGAATGGTCTTTAAGGAATTATTACAGTCTAATGTGACCACAACATAGGGAAGTCTTCTCTTTTAACATTTAAACTTCTAAACTTTGAGTAGCTCAATATACATTTATATTTCCTGAAATCTTTAAGGATCCTTAAGTCTTTAAGGATTATTACAGTCTAATATGACCACAACACAGGGAAGTCTTCTCTTTTAACTTTTAAGCTTCTAAACTTTGCATAGCTCAATATACATTTATATTTTCTTAAATAATAAGGAAGTCTGCTCCTTAAATTAGCATTGATAGTACAGAGAATTTTGATTGACTGTCAACCTCAAATATCCAAATTTTAGGAAATTATGTTTTATGCATGCACAGACATGACAACTTTAACCTAATAACTTTGATATGTATATGTTTTATGTTGTTTAATAATAATATTACACTGTAATATGTTCACAAAACATGAAGAAGTCCACTTTGAAAATGTCTAGCATAATACAGCACAGAGATTTTCGATTGTTTATCAATATCATTATACTCATGTTAGATCCAAATTCTAAGACATTACGTTTTATGCATGCACTGATGAGGAAAGTTTAAACATAATAATTTTGATATGTACATGTTTTATGTTATGTGTTGATTGGTCTTAGTTAATAATATTACAGTTTAAAATTCATATTATGATAACAAATTGGTCATAATATAACTTATTTTTAGGAAGCAGAATAATACAATTTTTCAGCTGTATTGTACTCTGACCAAAACCAACTTGATTGGTGTGATTTTACTTCCACCAGGAAATTAATTAAATATGAAAATTAACAAAAAAAAAATCTCAATGGTACATTGCGAAGCTGGTTTAATTACAGTACCTTAATTAATAATCAGACAATGCAAACATGTATTGAATTTTTGTCTTTATTTTTGTCTTTGGTTGAGGTAAGTGGCATTTCTGACAGAATGAGTTGGAATTTCCCAGACCAGCAGACACTGCAATCACTTTATATTATTTGAAATATCATTTTGTCTCTCACCCTGACTTTTGCCATGGTAAACGGTGCGAAGGTCTGGATCCGCGTCTGCATGTATTGATTAAAAGTGTACCATAGCAAATTTATTTTCGTTCATAGGTCTAATCAGATTTTTGTCAATGTCAAAAGGCAAAATACTAAAATAACAACAATGCTGCAAGCTTTCTCTTGAATAAACCTGCCTGTTTCAAATTCAAAGTGTTTATTGTTTTGCTTCATCACAGCCCTGTGGTTAGTTTAAGACATTTGTTTTAAAAAAAATATTTTTAAACTACTGTATGTATTAGATTACTACTACAGAACATCATTAAAATTGGTGTATACAATGGAAAAATAGCAATTTTTTCCGAGGGCCTCCGGACCCTGAACCCCGACCAGCCCCCCCCCCCCGCTGTCCCACAGCCTCAGTGCTCGCAACTTGACCACTTCAATTCTCATGGCTATGGTCCTGATATATCTCATACATAGATTATAAGCATCTGATTAGTTAAGAAGCGGGCAATAGAAAGTACTATTCCCCTGAAGAAGTACTATTCCCCTGAAAAATAGTACTTTTTGTCCTGTTGTGTGATGTGCAACTCTAGGCCCCACGTTGTGCTGACGGTAAAGGGGACTGCAACCTCTACAACGAAAGAGATTGGCCCTTGACCGCGCCATGGATCAGCGAGTTCGTGGATGAAGAAGACTAGACTAGGCCTAACATTACTTCTTGATGAAGCCGATAGCAAAAGCACCAAAAGACAAATTCAATATTTCTTGTCAATATTCGACAAATTGCTAGATGATGAGTGCTGTTGAAATTGAGGAAAATGAGCAGAGAAGAGCTAGGCTAGACTAGACACTAATTGATTGCCTAGAGTAGTAGTAGTAGTAGTAGTGGTAGGCCTAGGCTAGGCTAGGAAGTAAGTACTTTTTTATGAGGCTTAAAAAACAAATATTGACTGCTCTAGATTCTGGGAAGGGTGAAATCTATTGCCCCTCGGTGATGTGTCTCCTCCACATCACCGAGGGGAAATTTCACCATTCCCCTCATGAGCAATCAATATTTGTACACTAGACAATAGAGATAGAAAAATATTACCTGACATTACTGATGATTGAGTCGAGGAAGAGCTGATGTTCATGTTTGAGTCCAGTGAGTTTATTGAGGGCGGGCTTGTATTCGTTGTCATCTGCTTCAACCAGTGGATTGTTCTTTGACAGTTTACAACATTTGTAAAGGCGGAAATTACGGTTCTTGGTATATACCCCTGCAATTTGGAAAATTGAAATGTGTAGTTTAAGCCCTAAAAACAAACCCCTTTAATTGTTAATTTTCTCTTAAAAACAATATATTGCGAAACAAGGATTAAATTGATGACATCACAATTGACTTATAATGCTGTGGCGGATTCAAGGGAGACCATCCGGCCCGACTCCCCCTCCCCGAAAAAAAAGAAAATTATATTCAAATTTAAGTCAGAGTGCCATTTCCAGCCATCTGAAAGTGCCATATATCATAAATTTTCTTACCTCAGCCCCAACCATCGTGGGACTGACGTAGTCTATCCTCTGCCTGAGAAAGCCCCTGCTCCCTGGCCCTCACTACTTTGAATTCCTGGATCTGCCACTGTAATGCATTGAAGTAAAATGGCCAATTACAGGATTAATAAATATAATACTCACCTTCATCAATGAAAAGAGCTTCTTTGCCATTGCTGTCTTTAACTAACAGATCAGTAAGTTGATCATTTTTTGCAAAATCATCTACTTTTGATTTCTTTGTAGTTGGTTCATCATTATCCTTGTTCTCAGTGTCGTCATTTTCACTTTGTTGTTGGATAACTTTTCTTATTTTGCAGCAGATGTGGTGAACAAAATTACCTATGCAATAAAAGAAATTATATCAAACCTATATAAAATGATGTCAAACCTGCTAAAAAGGGAGGCTCAGCCAGCGTTGGCTGACAGTTGGTCGACTGGTCATTTTAAGCATATGTCCACACTATTACTTTAATTCTCTGTACTCCACTATTGAAATGCACTATTAAAAAGATGTGTTTTCAATTCAGTTTTAAATTTATGCAATGTTTCTGCCGACCGAATGTTAAGAGGCAAATTGTTCCATAGGTTTGGTGTAGATGAAATAAAACTTTGGTCACCGTGAGAAGAATGAGCCATTAGAATAATTAATAAATGCCCATTTGACAACCGTACATTGGAACGAGGGTTAAAAGGAATTAGCATGTCTGATATGTAAACTGGTGCCAGGCCTTTACATGCTAGTATAGCGCCTTATGTTTAATCTTTTGTTTTATAGGTAGCCAGTGAAGTGATGTAAGTACTTTTTTTTCCTGTTTCTGTATGGCCTTGTGGATGATTGATTCTGTTAGCTCAAAATAATCATCAATGAATTACCTTGATGTAAATTATCTTTGAATGCAACATCAGTTAAATTGAAGATTAGGTGATGGCTGAATTTCTTCTCGGTACTTGCATCAAGAACAACTACTTGCTTAATGTTTGCCTGGACCTGGAATATTGAATGCAGCTTACTGCAAACAAACTGGAAAGAAAGAAAACTTTAGAATAGATAAAAAACAAAATATTTCATTCATTAAGATAACAAAGATGATGATGATGATGATTATGATAAATATGCTGATAATGATAATGTTAACAAAGGGATTTCTTCTTGAGTTGTAATGATGCGAAAGTATGTGTATAAATAAATATAACAATAAATGATTATACAAACAAGTATCAAATTAGCATAGTCAAATCCAATCTTGCATCCTGAAATCAATGTTTAAAAGTATTATTATTAAATTTGTGAATATAATGTTGATATGGGCTAATTTATATAAATCTTTCTGAGAAAACAAAAAAAAATATGATATACGATTTTTTTTTCTTCATGAACATAAAGTTTTTTCAATTTTATTTATGTCTTACGTTTTAATAATTGTAAGTATACTTATTTTAAAAAATTAATTCAACTGAATGATAAAAAAAACACAAATATAGATTGCAATGAAAAATTTTGATCAGAAATATAAGTTTCAAGTAAATTAATTATTAATAATCGTCATAGATGTGTATAAGAGACAGGTTTACCATCATGCTCAGGGTTCACTTCCTTGTCAAATTCCAGGTCAAAGTACAATTTGCAGGTAGCTCCTTCTGGAATGACCTCATAGAAACTGACAAACTTCTTATGATTCGCTGAGTGTTTTATGACATGCCAAAGTTGTGAATAAGACGTGACACAGAACTTTCGTTGACCTTTGAGCTCAGACTGATGGTTGTCAACCTCAAATGCAAACACATGAACATCCTGCAAAAAACAAAGAACTATAAAAATATAGTTATGAACACCCATTTATAATTTCCATTTTTTAAGGTAGCAGGTGCACCAACGGCCAAAAATAAAACCTTATATTGCAGTTGAAGTCTAATCCAAAATGACACTCAAAAATTGTTCGACTTAGATAAAATTCGACTTCGACAATTAATGGAAAACACAACAATTTGGCACGTAAAATGAGATCGACTTAGAAACTGTCTCTTATACACATCTAGATGTGTATAAGAGCATAGTCAAATCCAATCTTGTATCCTGAAATCAATGTTTAAAAGTATTATTATTAAATTTGTGAATATAATGTTGATATGGGCTCCTTTATATAAATCTTTCTGAGAAAAAAAAAAAAAAATATGATATACGATTTTTTTTTCTTCATGAACATAAAGTTTTTTCAATTTTATTTATGTCTTACGTTTTAATAATTGTAAGTATATTTATTTTGAAAAATTAATCCAACTGAATGATTAAAAAAAAACACAAATATAGATTGCAATGAAAAATTTTGATCAGAAATGTATATAGTACAGAATTCTAAAAACGAATATGTACCGTAAAGTAGAGCATAAAGTAGTAGTTAGTTTGTTTTTGTTTTTTTCTTCGTCAATTTTAAATGTTACATATGTTACATATTGAATGTACATACAATATGTTACATATTGAATGTACATACAATATGTTACATATTGACTGTATTCAATTGAAATTATAAGTATATGCCGAAAAGGGAAAAAAAAAACAAATTAATTATAAAAGCAGCAACAAGTAAATGTCACTCAATGATTCAGCAGCTCTATAATAATTAATTCAAGAAAACTTATTACTGTACCATGCTATACTGTAATAATAATAACAGATCATGGAGTGAGGTTTTGCCCTTCCTAACGTGTTATCATACTGAATACTAATTCATTATGTTCTCAAATACTAGTGGAAAAAAAAGGCACCAGGCTAGTTATCTGTAAGGTTTTGGGTTCGATTCCCACCTGAAGCACTAGTGAATTTTTTTTTTTTGCAAGCATTTGGGAACGTATTGAATATTAGGTACGATAACACGTCAGGTAGTGCAAGACATAACTCCATGATGTTTTCGACTCAAACTCACATCAATATAATACAGTAACAGATTATGCCCAAACCTTGCATTGGGATTTTATAGCCAGTGCCTCATTTGAAGATTTAAACCAAGTACTTGGGACATAATACAAAACTTTCCTACAGATTTCTTCATTAGGATCCTTTGGACTTTAATCCAAAACATAAAAAACATGCTTCTATGCCTTCCCCAATATATTTTAGTAGTTATACAAAAAGGTAAGACTTTCTTATTATTTGTTTAGCGAACCTGCTGTCCGCCAAAAATGATTTCGATTAAAAATAAAATTTTATTTTCGGCTAATTAGGGCACCCACCACCACAAAAAAATGGAAATTTCAGAAAAAAAAAAGGATTTTTATTTTTTTTATTACGCCCGAAATCGCCATTTGGATGTTTTTGGTAGAATGATTTGCTAAATAAGAAAATATTTTATTTCTATTTCTTTTCTAACCTCCTCTGACGAACTTTAAAAAAATCAGTTCGCGAAACAAGGTATAAAAAAAAGTCTCGCCTAAAGAAGATTAGCCATAACTTGCTGCATCATTGTGCTGAATCGCGTATAGGCATGGTTCCTGACCACTGTAGGTATGGTAGAGTCACTTGTAGATTCATTTCAGATCATTTTACAATAATATGGTCTGAAATTATCCCAAGCATAGAGGTAATGGTGAAATCTTTCAAGAGATGCAATGGATTCTTTCAAGAGCCCACGAGGCAGATGGGTACACAGGACCTTTTGCAAAAAAAACCTTTCTATTTTCTGGCATTAATTTAACCAGGTTTTTTAGAATGCTTTCTTTTTTTTTTGTCTTCCTAGGTTCCCCTTGCTTTCTGTTTTTTCATAAATTTGTTTTAGTTTAAGAGGTTTTCCATGACTTTCTTTTTAAAAAAATTCTCCTTTATACATTGTATGATGGGATAATCCTTCTATTTAATTGACGTATATCCTCTGGTAAAAATCACTTCTTTTACATTTGCAAGTACAGTAATGGCTTCTTTTTGTACTTGGCATTGCTCATACAATTATCATAGTTGCTGAAAACTAAAGTTTATTGGTTCAGCTTTGCCGCACACTTTTATTACAGATTCAAAATCCACTGCATCAAAAATCTGTCCACGTCTTTTCATATTCTTTTTCCACCTTGGCGTTGAAGCTGTCGCAAGACAAAAAAGTGTGCATAGGCTCTTACTTTAGAGTGATCTCCTTTAAACAATTATCCACCCATACCGTTTACTTTTGTCCCATATTTCTGAATGCAATTTTTAAAAATATATATGTACTAGCAACATCACTGGCATTTCTGCTATCACTCTTGTTCAAAGGCTTAGCCAACGAGCCGTCCGGCCGTCTTTTTGACGGCCAACAATTATTTAGGACTGCCACTTTTACCGTGACGGCTTGGATGGCTTGGCCTACTCAGCTCGGCCTAGTTGGGCCTGGTTTACCTTTAGCAAATTCTTTATATTCTTTGAATCTATCAAATGTTGCAGTAAACTAAAGCATATTTTGGACGGCCTATTTCGTTTCTCTGGCTAAACCCGTGCTCTTGTTCCACGTGATTCCTACTGGCTAACCTATTGGTGCAAAGGTTGTGTGGAATTACAGGTCTCCTTGTAAATACACAAGCCTTAATTCCCTTCATCCTTGGAAGCATACTGTAATTACTTTTTCCAGGAAGATTTTTGTTTTGAAGGGGTGGGGGGAGAGGGCGGCTTCCAAATAAACGTAAATTTAGACAAATAAATATGCCAATGCTTTCTTATAATTATTACATTCACATTTCAACAAGAATATTTACCTTTATAAGAGTCTGCACCATCTGTTTACCATCATGCTCAGGGTTCACTTCCTTGTCAAATTCCAGGTCAAAGTACAATTTGCAGGTAGCTCCTTCTGGAATGACCTCATAGAAACTGACAAACTTCTTATGATTCGCTGAGTGTTTTATGACATGCCAAAGTTGTGAATAAGACGTGACACAGAACTTTCGTTGACCTTTGAGCTCAGACTGATGGTTGTCAACCTCAAATGCAAACACATGAACATCCTGCAAAAAACAAAGAACTATAAAAATATAGTTATGAACACCCATTTATAATTTCCATTTTTTAAGGTAGCAGGTGCACCAACGGCCAAAAATAAAACCTTATATTGCAGTTGAAGTCTAATCCAAAATGACACTCAAAAATTGTTCGACTTAGATAAAATTCGACTTCGACAATTAATGGAAAACACAACAATTTGGCACGTAAAATGAGATCGACTTAGAAATTATTGGAGTTGGGCAAATTCAACTTAGGCAAGTTTAACTATATTTGAAATCATCAATATTGGCAGGAACGAGTTCACAAAATAAGGTACAAAATATAACTTTGCCTTTTCAGATTGAGTCATGGGGTTATCCCTAATACAGTTACTGTACTAAAAATAGCCAGATGAAATTCCTACAAGAAATATGATGTTCTGATGGCAAGGCGTCCAAACTGCCTGAAAAGGCGCTGGTTCAAATAACACAGTCCTCCTTTTTCTCAGTTCCACTTATCTACAATATGAATTAATGGAAAAGAAAAGAAAAGCAACACTGACCTCTTGATGGCTGGCTACATATTCAAACGCTTGCTTCTGACGAAAAAATGTTAACCACAGGGGGACTGGATCAAGCAGTCTAAAATAAGTAAAAAGTGCAGTAATAACTACAAACTCAATATTACATATATGACAACATAACAATACAAATAATGTGTATTTTAGCAGGGCAAAACAAACATGTACCAAAATATACTTTTTATATCTAAAAATTATTTTCAATATCAACTTATAAAAATTCTAAAATTAAATACATCATGTCTGAGTTAAAATCTGAAAATAAGACAAACATGAAAACAATGCTCATTTAAAAGAATGAAATAAGTTATCCACATTTTAAAACATACTTCAAACTATTCTATTCTATTTATTTATTTTATTTTTATTCTATTACAAACATTCTTTTAAATGGCAAGGTGCTTATCTTTTTAATGGTTTAAGTGATACTATCAAATCTTCAAAACATTTTTGTAATAGTATTTTTATCTGCATTTTTTTACTTTGAAGTTTTTTAGTCTTTGTATTTCATTTCAAACTTTGTTCCCAAGTCTCCAAGGGAAACCATTTATTTGGGCCACTCTGGTTAAATATTGTAAATATATATAAATAAATAAATAATTTAAACAATCAATTTTTTACTAATTTAAATACATTTTTAGTATAACAACATTCTTAAATTATAATAATTGAGAATTTATATAGTGCAAATTAAAAAACAATTTAGACGGAAAATTATGTTTCCTTAAAAAATAATGTTTTGATGTTGTATGTATTACAGAATATTGCTTAAGATGTAATAATAGAGAGTTCCAGATAGTAGTAGCTGCAAATGCGAAAGATCTGATACCGATAGTTTTTAAGTTGACAGAAGGCATTGGTGAGAGGATCAAAGGGCACGAGAAGGTATATTTAGGAAGGAGCTCAAAAAGGTAGGATGGTTGTGCAATGCCATTTAAGTGTCTATAATGAATATGGGAAGAGTCTATTTACAGAACTGTCAATTGGTGAGGAAACTTTTTTTTCAATTGTTCCAGTTTTAGGGTAAAGTACTTAAGTACTGTATACAAATTATGCAATTCAAATATTTCTATTTTTATTTTTCAAGCTTATTAGGTCACCACAGACATATATGCACTTCCCCACCTCCACTGTCACCACCACTGCTATATTCAATGCTGTATTGTGCTCACTGCAATTTTGAAATACACGTATTGTTAATCATAATCCACATGTGTGATACAATTTGTAATGTGTGTGTAATAATTCATATTTCTTCTATTATTATATATCATCTTTGGAATCAATTAACCATTTACACATATTTATTCAGTCCGTAAATTTAGTTTTATTCAATAATGTCTTTTGAAAAATTAAGTGACTATTTTAATATATTAAATATTTGTTGTTTACTTTATTCCTCCCACGCGAGTTTAGTTTCTAGTAAATTAATTATTAATAATCGTCATCCTTATCTTTTAACATTTAAACATTTAAAATCTAAAACTGACTCTTCGAAATTCAATCCCAATTGAGATTGTGGAATAACCTCCATCCTGATATCCGAAATTATTTCATTATATCTTTTAATTTTGATTTGTTCAAATGCAAGTTAAAAAAATATGTTAATGATTTTTAATTGTTTTATATTGTTTATCATTATTATTATTCCATTATTATTATTATTATTATTATTATTTATTTTATTATTATTATTATAATTATTATTATTATCCATATATTTTTTTTTTCTGGGAGCAGCACATCTCTAAGATGACAGTGGTTCCGCTTTTTCTACTCCCTGGCTCACCTGATTTTTCTTTGTTTGTGAATTTCTGACTTTTTTTTGTTTTTGTAATGTTTTATATTGTTAATTGTTTTGCCAGAATGAATAAAATAAAAAATAAATAAATAAAATAAAGAATCCTCTTTTGCATACTGAAGTTTTTCAGTCTTGAATTTCTTCATTTGGTGTCTTTGATCCTTTTTGAAATAGAGGGGTTTGGCGATGATTGTTTACAGGCTGTCACGTGACTTAACTTGGGTATACATGAAAAATATTACAGTGCGATAACATAGGAAAAGTTATGTTATGGTTGCGAAAACAACCACCCACTGTTAACTTGCGGAGTAAATGGCTAGGAAAGGCAATACGATTGTTCTAAATAGTTAGTTATTAACAAGATATTTTATTGTTGACTGTAACTGAAGATTATGCTATCGAGTACCTGCTTATTAAAGATAAAATAATTGCTATGTTTAATATTATTAAGAATGTTTGAACTAGCATTAGAGTTGGTAATAATCATTTTACCAGAACCAAGAGAACTGATTTGCTATGGAGCCAGCTAGATTATTTTGATACTGCTTCCTGTGTACGAGGACATTGCAGGTGCGAATACTGGTTAATCCTTTGTTAATGCTTTATACTTTTATCATTTGTATACTTCTAATGATTATGTAATCTGAGTAATAATTGAAATGCTTTAGATTTTGATTTATATGTATTATTGATACAATGATGAGTGAGTTACGATCGAGATATAGAGAATATTAATGTAATGCCTCATACTAAGTTAACCTTGAGAAGTAGTAGTTTGCCTTTATATTACCAAGTACGAGAAGCATTGTTGAGGTTGATATTTACCACAAGATTGATACTTGTAAATGATAACACTGAGACAGTATTGAGTACTGTAAATGATTGTTTATTTTGATATTTTACATGGAGACAACTACTGTAACTAATCAAGAGATCATGTCAATGATTATTTGAGTTAAAGCATACGAAATATGGTGTAATGTTGTATTGATCATTCCCTCTTTTACTTTGTATTGCAAACTTTTGTTCATTTAGTTTACTTCAAGTTGCGTTCTTAATAAACGTCTAAACAACGTATCCTGTCTTTGGCATTTCCCTCGACTATTTGTGACTCACGACATTATACTGGTAGTACTGTAGTATAATATTTGATTTTTTTTAAACAGTTTAAAAATAAAACATATTCTCAAATAGGCCTACTGAGCTCACCTCGGCTTATATGTCGGCAAAAGGGGGAATTGCTTGTAGTCATTTTCAACTTTTTGCAGCGTCTTCAACTTCTTTAGCCATTTAATTTGCCTCCTGCAAAAGATGATAAACTTTGCACAAATAATTTTAAATAATAATTATAATTAACTCCTTTAATTAAAATCCCTTCCAACTACACTTCTAATTTTGATACTGCTATTAACAGCCAAATATTTTGACAACTTTGTCTATTTTTTGCCATATGAATTTTTCGGCATATGAGATCTGTATTTACAGATATACAGTTAAACTTGACTAAAGTCAAATAATTTTTAAGTCGATCTTATTTTACATGCCAAATTCTTGTGTTTTCCATTAAATAGCAATCTGAATTCAAATTTTATCTAAGTCGAACAATATTTCAATGGCATTTTGGATTTAACAAGTTAAACTGTAATTTATACTTTTCCATCATTTTTGTTTGTTTTTTTAAGAGATCTAAAAATACAAATATTCCTGTATGCATTGAAATAGTCTTTTGTCATTTTATTCTTTGGAAAATAGACAACCTTTTATACACTCAAAACACTGATATACTTATTAAATATCATAACTCCGAGTCCTATAATTTAATTTAAAGAAAATTTAATGCAAATAAAACAAATATTATTGGCATGATGTGGAATGAACTTCCAAAGAGCTAAATCCATGTCGCTTGGGTTTTCCCAGAGTTGTTTCAGCATCCTTACCAAAGGTCGTTTTGGGCACAAAAATGCTGAAACGACCTACCGCAGGCTGAATCGGCTTCCTGGTCAAAAGGGCAATAAACCAAAATGGCAATAAGTCAAAACGACAATGACCAAAACGGCAAAAAACCAAAACGGCAACACTTTTTGACCAGAACGGCAATGGACCAAAACGGCAATAAGTCAAAACAGCAAGAGCAAAACGGCAATAAACCAAAATGGTCTATGATAGTTTTCTTTAAAAATTAAAACATATTTTCAATGTGGCCCTTATAAAACAAAAGTGTACATGTGATTAATACGGTAAAACTGAGGCTTAATTGTCATAAGTAAAAAATGCGAAAGAACGACGACAACAACAACAAAAATAATAATATAATATAATATATAACAAGCAAATTCAATAATAAAAAGATTGAGGGAAACACAATATAAAAACATAAACATTTATATAATAAAACTTTCAAATACAGACAAAATCAGGCTAAACAATTTATGTCATAAAAGTAAAAAATGCGAAATAATAATAATAAATAACACTTTAAAATATAGACAAAATGAAGCATCTAAATAATTCGTCATACAGATTTAGATGTAAATGTAGGCCTAGATGTGTAAAAAAAAAAAGAAAGAAAAACTGCAATTAAACATTAAAACATTCAAAGCAGGAAAAAGAGCCCATGGCAATATTTGATTTGCCTACCGAGACAATTTCAAATCAATACGATTCAGAAAATTATAAACTGCGGTCCACGCCCAGTGGCTCTCCCTAAACTTGGCATTGATTTCGCTCCTTTGTCATTTTGGTACTTGTCATTGCTGTTTTGGTTTATTATAGCCGTTTTGACCTGCTACCCCGAATCAATCGACTCAGGGCTCAAACGACCCCAACAACCACTGCTAAACCCTGAACTTGGGTGTGTTAACTCAATCTAATGCCTTCCTATACCTACACTAGGCCTAGTACCAACTTACTAAATACTGGCCCTAACTAGAGATAGGCTTGGCCCTGGAGGAAAAGACTAGGCCTAGCCCCAAACTTAATTAGTTAGGTTAGCCTAGGCTTACCCTAACCTAGAGGCCTAGGCCTACACTAGGCCTAGCTAGATAGAATAGCTAGGTAAGGTAAGACAGATAAGCCTTCCTAGCACATAACTGAGTTAAAGTAATTTAGTTTAGTCATTTAACTCAACCTTTCCCTTAACTCCGCAATACTAAGCGAATTATATTTATCCATATATTCGATCAAAAAAAGAACATTTTTCTTCATAGCTGGGCTATCCCATTTTAAATTCGCGGGGTTTTGGGTTTGTGTTTCTATTTCCTTTGCTAAAGGCACGACCACACTTTGAAACTTGCAGTTGTATTTCTTATCTTATTGTTTGGCTAGCACGTGTGAATAGCTCGTAGATTGATGTGTTGATAGAGGGCGTTGAATGTTTGTTTTTTTTTATCGGCGAAAGTGCGGAGAACACGTTACGAAATGTTATTATTGCTTTATTATTTTTCTGTTGTTCTGCTGGTAAAATGATAAGAAGTGTCAAATTTTAAAATAAGCCTGAAGTACAATATTTTATCGAGTGATTATAGGATTTGAAGAATTTTAGAAGTACTAAGTGACTTAGGCTTGGCCTCCTCAGGATCCTGGCCAGCAGCCAGGGAGGACGTTCCCGGCCCGGGTCGCGATTCATGTACCCCTTTGCTTACCCTGCTCTGCCGCTTCTCTGTCTAGGCCTAGGCTCTAGCCTACATTTCTTTCTGCCCAAAACACAGACAGACCTTCAGACAAGTATACACGAATGAAGTGCAACGCGTGGAATTATTAACTAATTATATTTTGGAGTTACTTTTAATAATAACTTTAATTATATTATCAAATTTAATATTATAATTATTTTCACTTGTGAAAGACAGGCTCCAGAAGAAAACAGTTTTTTGATAGGCTGTACAACTGATTTTTCTAAGACAGAAAAAGCATATTTGACGGAAAACTCGGTATTAACTGTTGTTAATGAGATACAGATTTTTCAATATTTAAAAACTGGGGGGGGGGAGATGGGGTGTACCTACCATTTTTTCCACCTTTTCCCTAGTAGTTTTTAAATATTAAAAACCTGTATATTAACTGTTCCCAAGTTTTTCGTCAAATGTGCTTTTTTAGAAAATCTGTTGTACAACATATCAAAATTTTGTTGTCCTTTGGAGCCTGGCTTTAAAAATAAATAACTTAAAATATTATTTAATTAAAATTTATAAAAATATTATGGCAGTTTATCCACAGGTTGTCTTTATGTTTTTAACAGATCACTTATTTTTTTTGTACTCTACCCTCAGATCTTTCCACAATGAGTGACCAGAAGCCACAGAGCAGTAGCCCCGCACCGCAAGGCAGTAGTCTACCTCGAGGTTTGCTCAGTCGGCGCGGAAAAGTAACACCAAATGCACGGTTGCCATCACTACGCCCCCAGAGAGACCTGACACTTGGTGGTGTCCAAAAGGTCAGTTTAAACCAATGGTTTATTTTCTGAAATTAAACCCTATAAATATGTTGGTTTTTTTCCTGGAGCAGATTTAGGGAGTTTCCCCTCTTTTGCCCATACAGTATCAGTAACAGCATATACTGAATCATGCCATATTTGGATACTTATTTATCTGTATATACTTATATTGCATCGGGGTCTACAGTTTATAAAACTGGTGCCACTTGTTTAAAATATACTGGATCCGGCCCTGTTTATTTTAGTTAAGCTATGTATGATGTGGTGTACTTTAATTTTGAAGAGAACTCTGAACTTAACAACTATCTGATTAAAACAAGAAAATGAATGAAATGTATTTTGATATACAGTTAAAACAACTGTATTGACATTTTATAGAAAACATTCAAGCCAAACATTCCATCAAGGAAGGAAAAAAGCAAGGAGTAAGTTTATTCTACGTTGTTCTTTCCATGATCTTTCTTAGGGCGCAATCAGAAACAACACAAAATACATACCATAGTAATCCACATGATTATGCAACCTTTAGAGTAGTTTACTGTAAAGTAATGTGCTGGAGAATTACATGGAAAATGCTCAGGTTTGTTTGACAATTATAGAATTCCTTTGATGTCCTTTTTATTAAAAAATCAAACACAAAAGATCAAAGGGCATGCACTCACACATTACTGTTAAACCATTCAGACCAAATCAAACAATATTTGATAACGCATGCCTGACCATAGACATTCGATCAAACAAATTGTATGTCTTTTTATGCAGATTCTTAATCAGGGAGTTTTCTATAGTTCTTCCCGAATCTTCTTTTTGAGCGAGTTCTCTCCTAGCATAAACAAGCCATTAAAAAAAAAAGGTTAATGAAATTACAGTTTACATGCTAGTAGACACCCCCACCCCCACCCTCACCTCACAAGAGCTCTTTCCTGGACCCGACTAGGTTGCCTTATACCCCGCTAGGATGCCTACCGCCCCCCTGGACCTTATTAGAATCCTCCCCTACTTACAGAATTTTTGTATTGGGGTATGGAGCATGCTTAAAGTTGGTCAATGCTGTAATTATAAAGTTTTGTCCCAACTACCAAATTTTATTTGACAAAATATGGTCATGATCAGATCACATCATGACCATATATAGGCACATCATCGAGTATACAACTGTTTTTTGTCAGGGAAAATTTGATAGTGTGGACAGAGTATTAGACATGTCTGATCAAACATTGTATTTTGAAGTCTGACAGACAAAAATCTGATAATATAATAATCCATTGACAGACCCTTGAATGAAGAGAGTAGTGAGAATTCATCAAGAGGTCAGTCTGCAAAGAAAGATCACCACAGGAGAAACAAGGATAGACCACATGGCAGGGACAGAGTCCGACAAGAAGCAGTTCAGAGTCACTCTTCTATATTTGAAGAAGGACCTGCAGATGCCATGAGGAGAAAATGTAAGGAATGCATCAGAGAAAAAAAAGTAGTTATTAGAAATTTTATTGTAACATTGTCTAGAAGATTTTGAAGATTGATAATTTTGTCATTGATAATAAATAAAATGCAAGATATAGCAATGTTTGACATTTGTGGGCGAGACTGCTTGAATTTTACCACCTCAGGCACTGTTCCTCTTATTTACTGAAGAGCCCTATGTCTCCTACAGTTCACAGGTGTCTCCCTGGATTTGAGACCGCCTTCCCACACTCCAGCAAGAAAACAAAAAATATCCTTGAAACTAACCCATCTCCCACAAATTCATTATAGTTAAACTTGCCTAAGTCAACTTTGCTGTAAGTCAAATTTTATCTGAGTCGAACAATATTTCAATGCCATTTAAGATTGGACTTAAAGGCAAGTTTAACTGTATATTCAAAATTTTTTGCTCTGTATTATCAAATTGTCTCCCATAAGTCAGCAATTGATACATATTACTTTAATCATGTGGGAAATAATATACTGAAGAGCTCATTTAACTAAATTTCCTGGAAGAGACTTCTTCCAGATTAGGACCTTAGGATTGATTATTTGTAATGTCACATTCTTGCCGATGTGCCAATAAAACAACCAAATAATTTGTTTTTAATGATTTATTATTTTGTTTAATGTAATATTTGATTTTTATAGGGGGAGGAGGAGGTGGTGGTGGTGGTGGAGGAGGTGGAGGGGAAAGAAGAGTTATCAAAAAGGAACGAGATGAAGAATCAGATGCGAAAATGATGCGAGAACTCATGAGAGATGATGTAAGCATTCCATATACAGCCTCCCTCCAAGTAAAGACGACTTTTGGGACCGGGGTTTCATTTCATTTCATTTCTTTAGGCATGAGCACCAAGCATATGCCAATAAGTGAACTTATCACTGTCCTACGTGGCATATCCAATTAACAGCATGGTCTTTAGCATCTTTGGTTTCTAATAGAGGGTTTCGGCGATGTTTTTTTACAGCCGGTCACATGACTTAAATTGGGTATACATGCAGAAAAACATTACAGTGCAAAAGTATAGGAAAAGATAATGTTATAGAAAACAACCACCTACTGTTAAGGTGAGAGATAAATGGCTAGGAAAGGCAATACCATTATTCAAAATAGTGTTTTGTGTACTTATCCTAGCATTCTCCAAGGATTGTACACTTTGAAATTTAAGTGATCCTTCATAAACCTTAGCTAACCCTAACATTGCAGCACAGTTCGTGGGTCAAAGACCATCATGCATAACTAACATAGATGTGCAGGGGCCTAGGCCTAACATTTGTCGAAAAATCTCAATGTTCGCGGCCAGTGTCCTTTACAGTATTAGCAAACTATTAAGGCAGAATTGTCAAGTTTAATTTCCAATCAATTTGGTATAGTTTACTAGGAATTATGATGATCTTTACAGCAATAAACAAGGGACAGCCGCAGTAGCAATCTATGTAAAACAGCACTGTGCCAGTCGATTGTTTATATCCAACACCCAAGTTAGGTCATGTGACGTCCATTGCCAAACCCCTCTATTAGAATAATAAAGATAAAAGACATTTGTTAATTTGGGACCACGAAAGTGGTCTTCACTTGCAGAGGTCTTTAATCTATACATTTTTAGTCTACATTCGTTTGTCTATTGTAATTCATTACTATCATATACTACATTTTAATCCATTTATTGAAATATAAATATGTTATTTTTTAGTTTCTTGATGAAGATGAAAAGACAGAAAAGTCCAAATATAGCCCAATTCAGCTTCCTCTGAAATCCAAGAAAAGAACAGTTAAAAAGGAAGTAAAGGTTGAGGAAGCAGAGATACCACAACAAATGGATGTTGATATAGGTGAGAAATATATTTTAATATTTTAAAACAGTGCCCCTGCTTGCATTTGTTCACTTATCGCTAGGCAACAATATTGCCATAATTATAATCTCCAACTTTTTCCTCTTTCCTCGGTTTAAGAAAGAAGGGAATAGGGCCTTTTCGATTGCTTCAAATTTTTGCTTTTTCCTATTGTGTACTCAGACTATAATTTCTTAACATATTTGACCTTTCTGGGTCAATCAAATTTAACAACTGACCAATCAAAACAAGGCCAGTAATACATGTTTACACTATATTTTTCTGACATCTTAACAACAACTTCAAAGGGGTGGAGCTTAGCCAGACAGGTCTACTCAATACATATGTTAAACAATGCATGCAAATTATAAAGAAATATAATAACTGTAGAAGCATAAAATACTTGTTTTATGCACTGTATAATAGTTATTGTGCAATTTATTCATGAAATTTTTTTGATTCCATGTTTTGGATTTCAAATTTTTTTTCGCAGTTTGCAATCAATTAATTTATTTTCTTGATAATAGTTATTAAAAAAGAAAAGGAGGATGATGAAATTGTTGCCATGGATGGCATTAAACAGGAGAAGCAAGATGATGAATTTGATGGTATGGAAGGGATCGAAACAATCGCACAAAAACCAGCCCCTAAAGTTAAGTCACGTTTAACGACTGATAAACCCAAGTTAGAAATCACAGCGGGCTCAATATTTTCAAACACTAAGCAACTGGACGGAGAGTTACTGTTCTTCCAACTTCCAGACTCACTCCCTGGAAATTCTGAATCGGAAATAAGTAAAGTTCATGTGAAAAAAGAAGGAGATGCAAACAGTAAGCAATCAGAGGTGAGATTTATTTTGTAATGTGTTTTATTTTACAGGAAGTAATGAATAATGAAAATTACTTGATAAACTATCTTTACTGTTTTTTTTTTTTTGTTTTTTTGTTTTTAAGGCCAATGAAAATGTTAAAGACAACAACTGCCATCTAAAACATCTCCCTGAAGGATTTATAGGAAAACTTCAAGTTCTTAAGTCTGGACGAACACGACTACTCTTAGGAAATGTTAGCCTTGATGTCTCTATGGGGGCGCCATGTGGGTTTTTACAGGTAAATACAAACGAAAGAAACATAACCTGACATAATAATTTTGTTATAGTTGTGGTATTATGCATTATTTTTGTTATAGTTGTGGTATTATGCATTATTTGCATAATTTTGTTATAGTTGTGGTATTATGCATTATTTCACTGGGCCCTCTGGGAGAACAGTAACTTTTTACTGAAGAGGTAACCCAGTATAAAGAATAAATAAATATTACAATGAGATAAGTCAAGTTACATATCAAGAAATAATAGTAAACATTTTTTTTTTGTTATTCCAGGATCTTGTTTCAGTGCATTTAAATGAAGAAAAAACAGGGAATATGAATTGTTTAGGACAAGTTAAGCATCGAATTGTCTGCTCTCCGGATTTTGAAAGCTTACTTTCTCTTGGAACATAACATTTGTTAAATTTGTGTGAATAATAAAGTAACATAGAGACATATTTATATATATAGTGTAATATGTGCCTTGTGTCACTGTTGATGAATGTATTCCATAAGAAAATAAAATTGTTGGATTCAGACTGTTAGGTTGTATGCAATGGGGTTACCAGCAAGATGTCCAGGGGGAAACAGGACCCCATCAGGAAACCATAGACACCCCCCCCCCCAATTAAGGAAGAAGCCAACTGCAGTTGAACTTGCCTAAGTCAAATCCAAATTGCCATTGAAATATTGTTTGACTTAGATAAAATTTACTTACAGATTGTTAATAAAAGGAAAACACAACAATTTGGCATGTAAAATAAGATCGACTTACGCACAGTCGACTTAGCAAGTTTAACTGTATTTTTGGTAGGAGCAATTAGGTGTAGCAGGTCGGGGATTCAATCTTTTGTTGTGATTTTGCTCTTGAGCAAAGCACATTATCTGCATTGCTTAACTGCCCACCTGGGAGTATAAGTGGGTACCTCGTGGGGTTTTCCAGCTCCTGCGCTGAATACAGAAGAAGCAACAATTAAGCATGTGGACACCGTAATCAGCAAAAAATCACTTTGTATCTTTCAAAGAAAGGTACTACATGAATATTCAAATTGTAGGCATCAGGAAGTGCTTACCCTCATAATTTGCTCTAAACATGGTGGGACTGAAGTGAAATTGGACCCCTTCTGACCTCTTGGTTGGGAGTCAGAAGCTATAATAGCCATCATGAAATCTTTTGCTATATGTATACAAATACAGCTAATATATATCATACTTCAGAAACACAAAAGCAGGTCAAATTAAATTATTTCATAAGAAAGATGATTATTTAGTGTTCATTTTTGTGTCCTTCTATAAGGCATTCTACCATGGACCTATACATGATTCTACATGTTAGTGTACATAGCAACAGTGGCGGCGCCAGCATCTGAAATCTTGGGTGGGGGAGGGGTGCAGTGATAGGAAAGATGAAATTTTTGGGCGGAGGGGAGTGGGAAAAATGTTTTCCCATAGCAGACCGGAGATACAATTTAAGATACCCCCCCCCCCCCCTTAGCGCCAAAGAACATAAATAGAATGAACATGAATAGAATGAGCTCTTCGCGTAGTTTGCATTAAATTTGAGGGAACATCCGCCCTCTCTAAAATGTAGGAAAATTATTTAATGGAGTGGAGATACTAACGAAAACAAACGAACCAGAAAGTTATCCAACCAATGCAATCAAACCATAGAGATATAATAAGAATGTTTAATAGCTCTATATCAAAGATACTAGAAATACAAGATAGAGTTCTCGCATTGTAAAAATGAGGCGGAAGTCGTGCCCAACGTAGGCGGCGCCCTTCTTTTTAACCATGCAAGTTTCCTATACTTCGTGCCCAACGATGTGTATAAGAGA